GGGGCGCAGCTCCGCCCGTCAGCGTGCGCATGCCGCGTGTGCGTCGGTGCGTGCGGTCGTGCATGTGTGTATGGTGTGTGTGCGCGTGCGTGCGTGCGTGCAGTGCGTGCATGTGTATGTGTGTGTGGTGCGTGCGTGCGTGCGTCTGCGTAGCGTGCGTGCGCGTGCGGTGCGTGTGTGTGTGGAGAGCGAGAGAGAGAGAGAAAGAGAGCAGGCCAGACGAGAGATAGAGAGAATGAGGGAAAAGAGAGAAGAGAGAGAGAGTAGAGGAGATAGCGAGAGAGAGAGAAAGAGAGAGAGAGACTCGTGCATGGATGAATACATAATGATTTGTTTATCATGCACATAATGACAGTTTGTCAATAATATACTTGCGTTTATAATGCTTTAATTTATTTGATTTTCTTCATAAACCTAGTGAGCAAATCTCTTATTTAATGATAAGCATAATTAGGAGAGACGTGTTCGCGCATGCACAATATCTGCCAAATGAAGATGCGTCTTATATTGCATCCTATTCCTATACTATTAAAATAGAGCAAACATCTCTGTCGGAATAGCTTGACGTGAAAAATAAACTCCGATGTGAAGGTGTGATGTGGTGTGATGTGGTGTGGTGTGATGTGGTAGCCGATACATGCGATGCAGGTCCGTGCGGATCGCGTGCAGGTGGCGGTGGCCTGCGGTGCGGTGCGCGGCGTGCGGTGGCGGTGGCGTGTGCGGTGCGGTGCCAAGGTGCGGTGCGGTGCGGTGCGGTGCGGTTGCGGTGCGGTGCGGTGGGCGGTGCGGTGCGGTGCCGGTGCGGTGCGGTGCGTTATGTCGTGGGCGGTGCGGTTGCGGTGGCGTTGGGCGGTGCGGTGGCGGTGTGTGGCGGTGCGATGTGTGCTATGGTTCGATGTGAATGTGAGTGTGTGTGAATGTGGTGCTTGATGTATGTGATGTATGTGATTGATGTGATGTGATTCGGATGTGATGTGATGTGATATGTGATGTGTATGTGAGTGATGTATCGTAGTGTGTGTGTTGATGTGATGTGTATGTTGAACTGTGCAATGTGATTGACTGCATGATGTGATGTGATTGTGATGTCCGCATGTGATGTGATGTGATGTATGTGATGAAGATGCCGCAGATTTCCCGGTTGACACATAAAAGCACGTATAAAATAAAAATCAACAAATATCATTACGTATGTGTCCTGAAATTTGCAGCTCTATGCGTAGCCTTATACGAAGGGAGTTAGCATTTTGTAGATTTATATGGATAGTAATCATAGAGAAACCATTGATATAATGTATATAAGAGCGGAGACGCCGGTCCTAGAATTTATTTACATGAAAGAAATCTCAACACACTGTCTCAATTTTTTTTTACAGCATGCAGCAGTATCACCGCCTATGACTAAGCATGAATATTGGGCGTTAAATCATGCACGTATTTAAAATAGTATGTCATATAACAAAAGACATATATCAGACACTTTGCGTTGATATCACGGTCCGCTGTTTAGTTTAAATTCGAGAATAAAAAAATTAAACAAACCACAGTAAACAATGTTTTGACTAATATATGAAACAATAGATGGCGCTATTACGGACTCCCGTCTTTCTTCTTTCTGAGGGCAGGGAGTCCCTAGGACTCCATTGTTTAAAAATTAATTTCTACTCCTGTTACGCTGTGTGAACGTTACTTCAGAACACTTTGTTTCTGTTTTCGTAGGTTAATACGTAGATGAGACGTAGTTCCGTATATGATGAGCTTATTTACAAAACTGCCTAGATGTCCATTTTGGAGAAATGAGAGAAAACGACAAAAACGATTATTTGAAAATCATTTACATTGTTTTCAGCATTGGTTAAAATGTGCTGCTAGACATAGGCTATTTTGCAATAAAGGTTTCTGGATGTAAGCTAAACATGATTTATGATGGTAGCATGATGTAGGCTGTTTTTCAAGAAAAAAAGTACTCTGCACGGTACCTATGTTCACATACTATGATACTATACATTGGTGGTTTAAAGTAATTTTTGAAAGCAATGGACATAGTCAGTTTTGTAAATGAGCTCTTCATATTATGTAGATGTATGTAGATATATATAGATTGTGGTTCCGACTCCTCACTTCCCATCGATCATTTCGTTTTTCGTCCTGAAATCTCGCAGTTTCTTCATCAACCATGCTGACAAGTCGACGTCGTGGGTCGATCCACGGACGATGCCGCAGTACCAGCAGCAGCTGCAGCAGCAGTTCACGCCTCACCCGTGGGCGCCCGCTCAGGCACAGCCCAGACCCCACGTGCAACCCCAGCCCGCGCCCACTGCTGCCGTGCCCGCAGCCACACACGCAGCTCACACACAGGTGGGATATGTTACCTACTCTCTCTCTCTCCGTGTGTTACTCTTTTTTTCTCTATTTCTCTATCTTTCTCTCCATCTCTGTTCTGTGTGTTTATCTCTCGTCTTTCTCTCCATCTCTTTCTTGCTTTCTGTCTCGCTGTCTGGCATTTTTCCTCGAGTGAGCCTTATGTATGAGTTCGACTCTAAGTCGTTGTTGTTAAGGATTGCGTCTCGTAATAATGTATACTGAGTGCCTCATATACAATGCTGCACAACGCGACAGTAGCCAGCTATGAGAAGAGAAGCTAGTTGGTCACGTGAGCAGATATACGCGGGATGGCAGTGCGCACCCGGGTTTAGGTGTGATGAGGCTTGAGCTGTTAGCATGTTTGGATGTGTCTTATTGGAATAATTATAGAGAGTTATATATTGTTGGATATAAAGAGAAATAGAGATGTTTATATCCAATAATTATTGTAAAGATATTCAGTAGTTTTCTTGTGTTAGTATCTTGAACATCCTTGCTTTGTTATTAGCATCACGTGCCGGCCCAGCAGAGACCTACGACGATACACCCACCACAGGACCCGCTCCTATGCAGCACGTGCAAAGAAATGAAGGTTTGATATTCAATTTTTAAAACGTATTACGCTTGCCTCGCTCAGCGTTACATTTGTGAGCATAGCGAAATTGGTTTTGGTAATGACCCTGTAATATGGATGATTTGCACCTTGATTCCCTGTATGATAGAGAGAGAGATAGAGAGAGAGAGAGTGAGAATGAGAGAGCGAGAGCGAGAGCGAGAGAGAGAGAGAGAGGGAGATAGAGGGAGAGAGAGAGATAGCTTCTACCCTCTCTCTCTTCTTCTCTCGCTCTCCTCCCTCTCCTCTCTCTTCTTCTCTCTTTCTCTCTCTCTCTTCTCTCTCTCTCTCTCTTTCTATCTCTCCTCTCTCTCTCTCTCTCTCTCCTCTCTCTCTCTCTCTCTCTTCTCTCTCTCTCTAAACTCTCTCTCTCTTCTCTCTCTCTCTCTCTCTCTCTCTCTCTCTCTCTCTCTCTTCTCTCTCTGCTCTCTCTCTCTCTCTCTCTCTCTCTCGTCTCTCTCTCTCTCTCTCTCGTCTCTCTCTCTCTCTCTCTCTCTCTCTCTCTCTCTTCTCTCTCATCTCTCTCTCTCTCACGACACATTTCTCTCTTGCTCTTCTCTCTCTCTCTCTCTCTCTCTCTCTCTCCCTGTCTCTACGCTCACACTCTCTCTCTCTCACTCGCTATCTCTCTCTCTTTCTCTCTCTCTCTCTCTCTCTTCGTACTCGCTCTCTCTCTCTTTCTCTTGCTCGCTCTCTCTCCCTCTCTCTCGCTCTCTCTCTCTTTCTCACTCACTCTCACACTTTCTCTTGCTCTCTCTCTCTCTCTCTCTCTCTCTCTCCTCTCTCCCTCTCTTGCTCCGCTCTCCCTCTCTCTCTCGGCCCTCTCTTGCTCATGCTANAGAGGGAGAAATAGCGAGAGAGAGAGCGAGAGCGAGAGCGACAGAGGGAGAGTAACACTAAATTAATCTGTATCATAGGTGAATGCAGCGGGGGAGCAATGCTGGAAGTGTCTAGCAAGGGAATTGGTTGGCTCAGACGACAAGGTAAGGTTGTTTCCTTCATGCATTTCTACAGTCACTCGAATTCTCATTTATTCATGTCATTCGAATATATATATATATTTATATATTATATATATATCTATATCTATATATGTATATATATATAATATATATATATATATATGAATATTATATGAAGTCGTTCGATACTGCGCAGACCTGGATTGTAGTCGTGCCTGAACCTAATTATAATTAATAATTAATATTCATAATTAAAATCGTAAATTTACGCATCGAGTGACTCGCATTACATTT